TATACATGTAACAACGTTCAGGGACGCCGGAACGATAAAAAGGCAAGGGGGGCAAACGCACACCAAAGGGCACCTCTATAGACTCCATAGTGAAGATATAAACCTACATTTATGTGTTGACTTGCCAATATATGAAAGCAAACGCACTTAATCAGGTCACATTCAAGATCACACCTCATGACTTTGCCCAAAAAGCATCACTGGAAATGTGATTTATCAGGTAGTATTTTATAACTCAAAGGGCACTTTTGCCCCCCTTGACCCTCCTAGCAAAAGGCAAGAGGGGCAGCTGCCCCTCCTGCCCCTCCCCCCTGTTCCGGTGTCCCTGACAACGTTCATGGAGATATATTACTTTTATGTAAGTTTCTGAAGGACACACGTTTGTTAATATGGCCGATACACTACACACTTGTGCCTAAAACTGTCAGTTGCAACCTGCTCAGTCTGACAACTTGAGTTGTACTGTGCAAATCAATTTAACTCTAGCTCTGCCAGATAGCTTCCGAAATTGCAAAGATTTCATTTTTTAGAACAAGTGTGAAAGTCTATCTCACAGACGTGGCCCACGAGAGGATCGGGATGGGGTATAAATGACTATGAGTCTATGTTTTGTTACATCTATTTTGTGAAGTATGTACTGTGACTGTGTGTGAATGTACTGTATATCTAGATGTATTAACTCTTCATAGCTACTCATTGTAAATATAGTACTTGTTTAATGTAGATTAGTTAATTTAGTGATAGAAGAGCCAATTCAATTTGGAATCGCTAATAAATCATCATTATTATTATTATTATTATTATTATTATTATTATTATCATACTAATCATACTAACATTCAATACGATAGCTACAACTCAACTAAAGAAGTTTTAAAAACTTTCCATTCTCAACAAGAAAATAAACTTAGGAACCGTTTGAAATGTCAAGGTTCCTTTTTCGAAAATGTTTCTAAATTCTCGCTAATAATAATTCTCGTTAATAATTATTATTATTATTATTATTATTATTATTATCATAATAGTTATACTAACATTCAATACGATAGTTACAACTCAACTAAAGAAGTTTTAAAAACTTTCCATTCTCAACAAGAAAATAAACTTAAGAACCGTTTGAAATGTCAAGGTTCCTTTTTCGAAAATGTTTCTAAATTCTCGCTATCACAACTTAACGCAATCTGGTCGGTATCGCAATCAAAGCTACCAAAGAACATTTTCAACTTTACAATTCGCTATATAAATAATACCCTTCCT